GGGGGTAATTGATAATTATTGTGAAAATACAGGACACCATAACATCATTGTATTCTGCATCAAACCCATGTTTCATTTTCTCAAATGAAATTATATCATATAAGAAGGAATTTTCCTTCTCTTTGTAGAGCCATAAAAGGAAGATAATCTGAAAGTGATATTGCCTGCTTAGGGCCAGAAAGGCCTCTACTTTGTGTTAAGGTATAAGAGTTAATGCCCTTCTAGCTCCAAAGAGATGATATTGTTTGCGGATGGCATAAACGACGAAAAAGGCGACTACACTGTATTGCGCTGAGTTGTATGTCGCTAGCATTAAAATGCCTGTAACTTGAAAAAAAAAACTTGCTTATTTGATATGAAACTACTTAAACCAGGTAGTTCAAGTGTATCTTCTCTTTTTTAAAATTATTTGGTTAAGAATGAAATCCATGTCATGTTTTACAAATGGTCCAAACCTTAGAAGAGAGTTTATATCAGAAATGTGCTTAAAGAGAAGGTTGAGTTCTGGGAAGAGGTGAAAAATAATTTGTGAGCATTATCATTCTTATTATGCAAGTGTGGAAGAACATCAGATAAGACATGTTCCCTGAAAAGCATGGCTCTTCAAATGCCTTCATATTCTAAATATGTCATATAACATCGTAAAACTCCAGGTAGGATTTTTACGCCACGTGTTCGTGTAGTCCCATATATATCTTTCTGTGTACAGTGTTTGTAACTTTACCAAGACTTGGCCAAATTTCTTATCATTTTGATGATTCCAGAACCTTGCAGTACACACAAATTCTTATATGCTAGATGATCAACCTTTTCTGGTCGATTCCACGCGGTTTCTTTCACAATGCAATCACATGACCAGAACTCAACTTCATCTTTAATGGAAGACAAGCATGTTCACTCTAGCCAGTTGCACAACGATATGTATTCAGAGCCAGAAGGTTATTCACTCTGTGGTATAGTATACTATTTAACGCCCTTCTGACTCCAAACAGATGATATCCTATCCGAGATGAAACTGCCAATGACTAGGAACAAAGCAAAGTGCAAACGAACAAGATCACGCAGTCATTGGTATATGGCCTCCATGCATCATTAATGATATACCTGCAGTGATCTAAAGATCAGGAAGCAGTCGCTAGGCTTCGGCAAAACATGTCTAAGATAATGCAGATATTATCATCATTGGAATTGGGTTAGAACAAAATGGAAACATGTGATTGATCATGAAATAATTATGCTCTAATGTTCCTATTTGTCATAACTTATGTCCACCATATACATAAACATTATTCAGGCTTTTGTAATAAAAAATGCACTGCATAATTTTGTCCAGCATTACTGAATGTTCATCCCTGCCCAGTCATTGCAGAATTAAAGGCTAAAATAGCTCAAATAGATATACCTTGATATTATTCCAATTTCTAAAAGATAAGGTTGTATATCGATTCAAATTTAAAATATTTGCTTGATTTCTATTCAAATTCTTTGCTAATTTATCTTCACTGTGTGAGGCAATCCTGATTTATTAAAAACAGACCTTTTAGTAAAATAATAAAAGCTTCTGTTAATGGTCATGCACTACCCAAGGGACGACTGCTTTACTGTGTATACCATCTCCGAAATAAGTATACAGCATGCATGTGAAGAGATCTCATAAATTTCCTGCATGGTTTCCAGATTCCTAGAAGGGTTCATGGTATGAAAGAGTCTCTGTAGATAACTAGACGCACCTCTCTTGCACAGACCAGTGAAGATGAATCTTTTCTGTAAAATGTAAAGACTAAAAGTGGGTAGGATTTTAAAGATTTAGAGTGAAAAATTTCTAGAGCTGAGGCCTAAAGTGTTATAAATAAGTAATATATACTTTTATGAAAAGAAACTGATGTGGAGATTAAGGGAAAGAAGATTGTGTATGATACTGATATGAGAAATAAACCTTACTGGGAGGCCTAGATATTTATTTTTGAAACCACATACTGAAAAAGTGGGTCACCAAAATCCATGCCGAAGTGAAGGTATCAATCCTGTTTTTTGAAGTAAGAATGGAAGTCAGAGAGAGAGAGAGAGAGAGAGATAGTGAGAGAAAGAGAGAGAGAGAGAGATAGAGAGAGGGGAGGGGGGGGGAGGGGTAGAAAGAGATAGAGATAGAGAGACAGAGAGACAGAAGTAATAAAAGAGGAGGTATTGTAGAAAGAGCAGTGAGTGGGGAGATGTAGTAAAATGAAGAAATAAGAGAAAGACAGAAAGGCAGAGAGTGTGGAGGGAAGAGATGAAAAAGGAAGGATTGTAGACAGAGCAGTGAGTGGGGGAGATGTAGTAGAATGAAGAAAACAGAGAAAGTGAAATAGATGTAGAACAAGAAAGAGAAAGAGAGATGAAGAGAGATATAGAAAAATAATATACAAATGAGTGAAAGAAGGACATTGAAAATAAGTCTGATGTTGAGAGGAGCAAGAGAGAAAAGAGGAGGGGTGGGGGAGAGACACTGCAAAATAAAGAGGAAAAAAAGGACAAAGAGAGAGAATTATATTTACTGAAGATGTTCAAAAGCCTCTCCACATCTTCACATCTGATATATCTAGATGAAAAAAGCAGAAAACATCCCTTCTCACAATGCTTCTGTCATTGAATGCCGTTTTACTTTGTGAATCGCCCAGGGGGCGAGATGGAGAGCATTGTTTGGCTCAAAAGTCACAATTTGCCTCGCGACAAATATACTGATCTTCTGAGATGATGGGAGGTAGAAAATTCTCATCTTTATCCTCTCTTGGAGGCATCCGTCTCTTCTTTTCTTGATATTTCTGAGAGTAAATTATTGAGGTGTGAGCAGGCGTGTATGTGGTCGCTTGGGACGACAGTCGAAACTGGGATGCCTGTTTAATAAGGTCATCGTTTGAACTCCTACTATAGATTTCTAACGTAATCTTTGCAATCTGTCTCCCTTCGTGTTTGACTTAGTTTAGGTCTAAACTCCTAGGGGAGTAATCAATTCATTGTGAAGATAGTTCTTGTATATGTGCCTTAATAACACCAATATTGACTCTTTATCCACTGCAAATCAAAGCCATATACTATACATGCATGTACATGTATGTTACATTCCAGCTGTTTGTGTGACAAATGTTGACTATGGCAGCCCACTCTTTGTTTCATTGGTCGACCAAGGTAGACAAAGGGTTAAAAGGTTCAATCACGATGAAATAGTCATTTTTACCATTACTCTCTTGGCTAAACTTTATAGAGATGGGTTAGTTTGCAGGCTCAAACCTGTGTCCTCAGTTTTGCCTAACAGTGTCTGCACTTCGAGACTAGACTCACGGCATACTGCATTAGCTATGTACTTTTGAAGTATTTGACACAGCCAGAGATTGACATAACTAGGCTCTGCTCAAGGCTTTAGGAATTGTGGTAACGTGTCAAATTAGAGTCTGCACCTGCAGACTAGGGAGGGATGGTGCATGAAAATGTATCTGTCCCTTTTTTCTCTCCGTTTCTTCAACATGCATCATCATTTTCCTCGCTCCCAGCCAGCTTTGACTCAATGAATAACCCCAGGTTTCGGGCAGAAGTAAATTCATTTAATTTATTATAAATCTACACACAACATAAGTAACAGACATTCATTATCTTCTAATTAGGATGATGTCATTCGTTACACATCTGCGAGGCAAGAAGGTACTTTTTATATCCCGTTGCGGAGGGTTATGTATAATGTTGCCAATTTGCCTTGGATCAGCTGTTCCCCATACAGAGAAGCTGCAGGGGTGATGTGCACTTCTGTCTCCCACACTGTGTGGTGTGGTGGGGAATAAAACATTTACAGAGTTGTGATTAAGTTAAAAATCTAAATGCCAAGGTTACTCATTATTGTTTTATACTGTAATTGTGCACACGCCAAAAATTAAAGCAACGCTATACCATCGATGGGATTCTATAAACTTTTGAAGGGTGGGAGTGGGGTGGGGGGCAGATGTATACTATAGTGCCATGTTGGACTGGAGTATCTAATTTTGAATGACAATGCAAGGGTGATGACATGTTGTTTTAGAGCAGGATGTTTATTTAGATAGATCTCCTATACAATTTTTTTGGGTGGAATTTATGTGATCTATTTCATGACACAGAAAATATAGTGTAGACAAAAGAAAATGAAGAAGTGTACAATTACAAAAAGTCATGGGAATTTGTATAAAATTTGATTTTGTCAGAAGGGAAGGGAGTTAAGGGAGTCAGAAGGGAATTAGCTCTGGGTTATATGATTTAGCATCCCTCTGACTTTCAGCAGGAGATATCATCAGAAGAGCAAATATCTAATTGAACATATATATAAACTTTTTTTCTCAAGATGTATAAGATAGATTCATGCACAGTTTAAACTTTTGTTTTAAACTCAAAAATGTTAATTTGAAATGATTCTAAATTTTAGATATTTCAGGTGAAAAATGCTTTTCATTTACAGATTATGTGCTGACAGATACATGTATCTTATTTGTACAAATTGAAAGGAAATAGTAATAACTTATCATGTTGTGGAATATAGTGATGTCCTGACACAGATGTTTGATGTTGATAATCATATTAATTGAAATGAAATACTATCATTTCAAGCTGCTCAAACAGAATTTCTGTGTGCATTGTCGAAGTTTATTTACTCTGGCATACATAACTGTTAGAACCTATCATTTTGGAACAGAGAGAGAGAGAGAGAGAGAGAGAGAGCATGCATGGTGTATTTACGCACATATCATCATTGTTTAATGTCCATATGTGGATATTTTTCTTGTTTACGTGCAAAAGGAAAACGTTTATACCTAAATCACAACAAAATGATGAAAAGGTACACAATAATGGTTAATACATGAGGGTTTATACATATACAAGTTTGGCTGAAAAATATCTGATTTATTTGATTTATATACATTTATTCTCTCTATATCAAATGATAATGCTGCGTGGTTATAAAATGCTCATTTAAATATCTTTTTTTTTCTTCTATGCAGAATATCCCCCGGACCTATCAATATGTGTGTTTGTCCTGGACCAAGCGTTGTCGGTGAGGGCGCTACAGGAGATGGTGATCACTGACCAAATAGATCAGGTAAGTTCACGGAGGGATGGGGGAGGGGCGCCCCAGGCCCCCTAAGCTGCACCATTTTGCAGAACTTTGACATTTAGAGGCAGAATAAGCTGTTGTGAATAATTAATTTTTTTCAGGCATTTCTTCCAGTATACAATAAGATGTTTTGTATGCAGCCCAGAGGCTTCTACACACAGAGTTAAGCCGACTTGGTTTCAGTTGGTAGCAAACATAAGGTATATTCTTTGTTTTGTGCTTGCCCAACAAAGCAGTTTTCACCATATTGTGCCCAACTGGAACCGAGTTGGCCAAACTTTCCTGATCAATCGCTCTGATGCAGCCTGTACAAGTACAGTTACAGGCTCTGAGCCCGCATGGCTAAAGTATCACATTTTAAATCATATATGTTGGTCGCAATTTGAAATGATCATCACATGTAATTGAATCAATGAATTGCGTCATCACAGATGATAATTGAAGTGTTGTGCATAATGTCATGGTCTAGCGGATACATCACTGGACTGTGGGTCACATCGTCACATACAGTACGTGTCCAATATAAATGTAGCTATTTTTTTTCATTATCATTATAATTACAAATAAATTAATAAGAATAAAAAGAGCTCTAGTAGGAGGTGAAATACAACAAAATAATGTGGCAAGATAATCTGCCATTTTTTTAATGCTGTTCCACATGGCATATTGGGCAAGTTAGCAATTGCAATTTGGAGATTGGAATAAGTTTGGACTTTTGCTAGTGATATATTTATTAATCATAAGAATTGTCTGAGAATGTGCTTACAACATGAATCTTGGATGTAATAGAGAGAAAAAGAAAGGATGAGGAGAGCCAAAGAGAGAGAGAGAGAGAGAGAGAGAGAGAGAGAGAGAGAGAGAGAGAGAGAGAGTGTGTGTGTGAGATAGAGAGAGAGAGAGAGAGAGAGAGAGAGAGAGAGAGCTGTGGGGAAGAGGGGGGGGGGGAGGGTGAAATGAAGTAAGGCATACAATGTGTTTTTATGCGGATATGATGTAGAAGACAAATGCCTATCAAAACAGAAGTATTGGAATATATTTCAAATGGAAAAACATGCTCAAAATGTGACAAAGGCTCCCGACAAAGGAGATGAATATTACTATTTATAAATGCTCGTCGTATTTTCAAGCCTGCGAGCACTTTACATTTTACAATAGTGCACAGCATCTTCATCAAATGGCAACAAGGGCGTAACATAAAGAATGATTAGAGACTGACATTGAGTTGTTCAAGTTTTTCTTACGTTCGTTACCTCAGTCACCATAATGATAGATGAATTTTTATATCTAGCGCATAATGAAATATTTTTCAATGCGTATGTTGTGATGGGGCGTGAATTTTTGCTACCAACTGATGTTGTAGATTGTTAGCTAGCCGTGCATGAATTGTGTTTAAAGAATGTGTTCATGGGCAAATACAGTAATACTAGATGATGTTTGATATATCTTTTGTCGATTTTCTCAAATAATGTGCATTGTTTGCAATTTGCATTGGAGATATGAAGCAAAAAAAGTTGTTCTGAACATGTATTTCATTGATTAAATTGAGACTCTCATTATCCTGTAGACGAATTTCCCGCTAAGAAGTAGCCGATTCTTCTTGGATGATTTGAATTACTTAGTGAAGAAGATGTTTGTTATACTGTTTAAGCTCACATTACGGATACATGTACATGTACGTGGCAAACTGTGGTTCTGTAGAAATTTCATTGATCAAATAGAGACTCGCAGTACACCCAGAAATCTCCTATTGGCCGCTGTCTATATTTTCATCTCATCTCTCTCTCCCTCTTTCTCTCCTTGCTTTTTCATCTTTATTTCTCTCCCTGATTCCTTGCAATCTTAATCTCTTTTCATCTTCCTCCTATCATCTTTAACTTTAAGGCTATCTCCATCCTACCTGTTGTCCTCTCATGTCTCTTTCTCTCTCCCTTTCTCTCTCTCTCTCTCTGTCTCTTTCTGAGTGTCTCTCTCTCTTTCTTTCTTTCTCTTATCATTTTTTATTTCTTTGATTGATACTGTTCTTGCTTTCGCCCTCATATATCTCTTTCTCTTTCTCTCCCACCCCTATCTCCAGGTCATCTCCATCCTAGCTTTTTCTCTTTTTCTCTCTTTCTCTCTTTCCCTCTCTCTTTCTCTATTCTACCCCTCCTCTCTTTCTCTCTTCCACCCTCCCTCTCCCTCCCCCCTTTTTTTTTGGGGGGGGGGGGGTTGAGTTGGATCCTTGCAGCCATCCTCACTTCTCTCTTCTCCTCTCTTGCCATTATTTCTTCCTAAATTGTTCTCTCCAATTCTCTCTTAGTCTTTGGATCATCTTCCTCATACACTTCCCATTCATTTCCATCTCTCTTGTTCTTTCTCTGTATCCAATATTCTCTAGACCATCTTATTGCATCCCCATTCTTTTCCTCTCTATATCTTTGTATCTCTATCTTTGCTTGTCTGTCTCTCTCCACTATTTCTCCAACCTGTGGTACATCTTCCCCTAGCATTCTCCCTTCACTACCATCCCTCCATCCCCCGGTCCCCCATTTCCCTCATCTTCTTTCCATCCATCTTCCGTTTTCATCCCCACTCATCTCTCCCTACCATCTTCCTGGATTAAGGGGGATATGGTCGGGAGGCGGCAAGACCACGTACAAATTAATTTTCCAGACATTAAATTGCTATTAGTGCGACATCCATCAGGCTGTGTTACAAGGTTCGGTTCTTGCGCCCCATCCAATCCAATCGGGTAAACACCATTCTCCGGAGCCCCGCTCTGCGGCGTAGACGACTGACCTTTCGCAAGAATCATTTATTTATTCGTCTGAACTTGTCCTTAATGTCTAGGGGAAGATCATCAGTTATATATCGATCCATTTCTTCAAGAAGAGGTCTCTGTGAGGAGGTTGACGACTGCTTGATAAATGAAATGATTTCATTTAGTGTCTTGGTCCACTTGAGTGTGATTTGCTGAGTAGAAGAGCAGAGTAATTGGTGGCCATTGTATATTTTCCTGGCCGAGCTAAAATGGAATGATGATTTCATTAACATTTCTTGAGAAATATAGACCTTTTATATCACTGCAATTTGTTGTGCCACAGAAATCATCTGCAATTTCAGGAAGTAATCTATTGGATTAATAGATATCATTTTTTTTAAAGAGATAATTTCAAATGTCTTTAATTGTTCAGACAATCAGTAGTTAAAACAAATGTATTGTGACATTTGACAATGACAACGATTTAAGAAGTTTTCAATTTATATTTGACTTTATACTCTGGTATTAATAAAAACATTTATGACTTAAAGTTTGCATGAGTGCCTTTGATAACCATGGAAACAACCTTCCTTCTACTTTATAATGATGACTCTCAAGCCAAGGGTTGAGGGTTTGAATCCCAGCCAGGCACTATTTGCTCCTTTGGCAAGACATTTATACACATTTGCCACTCTTCACCCGGGTGTATATCGGTACCTGGCAATCGCTGGGTGAATCATAGTTGTCATCATTATTACTTGTATTATTAATAGTATTTTTGCATCATCAACATCATCATCATCATCATCACTGTTATTATGATATTCTTCTACCCCCTTATTTCATGGTTCAACAACTAAATTTATTATTGGTAGACTGTTTGCTACCCTGTCAAGTGAACGATACTTTTATACCTATTTTTGTAACAGAAGAAAATCATAGCATTTCACTCCTCTCTGGGAATAGAAAAGTACATTATTATACCGAATTTACCACTCGCAACATGTAGTGAAGAGATGGGTTTGATACATGCTGTAGAATCTAAACCCATCTCATAATCATATAATAAATGATATCTCAATCCCTGCCAAGAAGACGGCGGAATTGACTCTCAGTGCAGAATGGCCAGCGCTTCCCGACGTGTGTCACAATCCCCTTCAGATTTGGATCAAGATGTGAGAATGTACGCCTTTTGTGAGAAATTGCAAACGGTTCTTTGAGGTGTGTGGCGTGCCGGGTGTCTTTTCTGAAGAAAATGCCAGCCGTATCTGTTACACATGAAACGATATGTGATTCAACACAGGCAGCCAGGCTTGAATGCAGGATGACTTTTATTTTTCTCTTGTGCCAATTCTTCCTTGATGAGAGAGGGAGAGGAGGAGAGAGGAGGGGAGATAGAGAGGGGGTGGGAGAGACAGAGAGAGAGAGAGAGAGAGAGAGAGAGAGAGGATGAGAGAGAGAGGGGGTGAGATAGAAGAGACACAGAGAGTAATTAGAGAGAGGAGAGAAAAAATAGAAAGATAAAGGTAAGAAGAAATAGAGAGAGAGGAAGAGAGAGAGAAAGAGAAAAAGAGAATGATAAAGAGAAAGAGAGAGAGAGAGAGAGAGAGAGAGAGAGAGAGAGAGAGAAGAGGGGGGGGGGGGGGGGAGAGGGGAGGGGAAGTAGAGTCAAATATCATTCCAGTATTAGTTTCTGTCACGTTGCATTGCAGTGGGGGTATTCGAGGAGAAAGATATGAGATAAAAATGATAATATTTGCAATCTCTTCTCCTGGGATCAGAAAGAAAGAGACCAGAATGCTAACATATTGATGCCCAGAGAGCAAGCAGACAAGTGTTTGTAGCGATGGTGAGATGCCACAGAAGTAAGAGGTTAAGAAAGTGGAGCAACAAAGTACCACTTTATGGAAATAGAATAAGAAGCAAGGGAACAATTTTGTTTTGGATATTTACATTTTTATGGTGTAAGATGATTTGTTGTTCCCAGGGGTGAAATCACTTTGTGAGAGAAATTGTCTATCAATCATTGGTCATGTATAGTTAGCATTCTGCACAATGGGTGTTAATAGTTTTGAAGTGGATTTTGGTAGACAAAACACATTGGTGTTTTTCCCCCGCATAATTTACTGTGTTTCTTCTCATTCATAGTGCTGCATATTTGTATTTATGTTTGTTTTGTTTTTTTGGCCTACAAATCAAATGTATTAGTGATTGATTGATTAATTGAAAGAAAAACAAAATGGAAAAAATCATACTTAACATACATTTACAGTTAACAACTTAATTATCCATACCCTTAATACCAAGTTTTTGAGATTTTTGAACACACTCATGTTTCTTGAGAATGTTGCATGTTAAAGCATACATCTAAAGTTATTCAACAAAGGCCCTAAGTCCACCTTTCATTCTTGAGTTAAAAAAAAAAAATACATCAAATTTACAAGGGGTATGAATAATTTAGTCGTCTAAATATCTTTAGAAGAAGAAAAAATGGAGAGCGAATTAAAGAGACAGAAAAAGAAATGCAGTGTGGACAAAGTGATTATTTAAAGGAGAAATATGACCCGAGAGAAAGAGAGAGAATGACAGCAATAGGGAAAGAAGTGTGAGGATAGGGAGAAAGTTTTAGAAAAAGGGAGAGAGAGAGAGGGAGGGCGGCAAGATAGAGAGAGGGAGAAAAGTTTGAATGAGAGCAACACTTTGTAACATCAACATATTTGAAGTAATAGAGATGACAAGCCAACTGAATCATCACCCTTGCCTTTATCAGGTTTTGTGAAAAATGAAAGAAAAACTCTTTTTATGCAATTGTGTCAAACTCTCCATTTCCTCCATACCGTTTCCTTCTCTCACTCTGCCACCCATTATTCAACCGATACTGAAAGCTCTATAATACCTCTTTGAACGGTGTCTTTCTATTACCATAGGCCTGTCCTCATAAGCTTGAGTTTGCCAAATAACCCGCTATTTTAAATATCCCGATCTCAAATTAACCAGTTGACTTGCGTCCTTATCAGCCCCCATTTGCAATTAGCGGGATATTTTCTCGAGAAAATATCCCAAGAAATCTTGGTCTTGTTTCCGAAATAGCAGGCTAATAAGCGCCTGTTCTAGCTAGTTTTTGATGAGCGTATCAATCTGGTAAAGACGCAATTTCGAGCTTCGGTATTGCGATCTGCATTCAAATCTCGACTTGAGAAATGGTGGAAAGATGTCCCAGATAAATATGATGACAACCCCAACCAAAGGAAACCATAGATAGGAACAACAGTCTAAAGACTGAATAATCCTGGATCAAGTGAGTCAAGTGAGTCAAGTGAGTTAATATCCCAAGTCTGAAAATAGCGAGTTATTTGGCTAACTCGAGCCGATGAAGACAGGCCTCATGACGTTTATGCTTCCGTCCCAGAGGAAGGATTGCAGTGTACGTTACATTCATGAATTCATCAGACTCTCCGTTCTAATCTACTGCGGATGTGAACCCACTCCGAGTCAAAACCAAAGCAAAGTTGAATCAAAACGGTGATGGTGTTATCTAGACGATATGTGTAGGTGTGGAAACGCATCTAGATGGATAGCCTGTTTGCGTGAAGGAAATTTAGACGAAAGTTTAACAAAGAAACGAATAAAGATATAAATGTTGAAACATTACCAGTTCAGACAGAGAGCATGTTCAGACAGAGAGCATGTTCAGACAGAGAGCATTTTCAGCCTAAGGAAAGTTAGATGACAATTTCATAAAGAAAGTTATACAAATAAAGGTGTTATAATACAACTAGTTCAGACGGATAGCATGTTCACACCGAGGAAATTTAGATGAAACTTTCATAAGGAAACATATAAAGGTATAGGTGTTATAACACAACCAGTTCAGACAGGTAGATGTTCACATTAAGGAAATTAAGATGATATTTGCGTAACAAAACATATAGCAAAAGGGGCAAACACAATAGAATATACATCATATAAAGAAACGTCGATTTAGAAAATGATTTTCCTCATATGCGATCTAATGCTGATGTGAATGTGTTGCTATGACAAAAACAGATAATTGTTTCTCAACTTATCTACTGAAGAAAAAGAGTGGGGTTGGTTTTGGCATCTTTTGTACTTTTCCATGGTTACAGCACAGTGTTATGAATTTTGTAATTCTGAGGTTTTTTTAATGAGAAGGAAAAAATAGAAAATGTAAATGAGTGGCAAGAGACAACACAGGGGTAAACATAGTGGTGTATTGCAAATAGTGCATAGAGTACACATTATCCTTTGCATATATATACTTGCTGATTCATATCAGGTCAAATTCCATATTAAGACATGTGTCTGTTCAGAGCCAGAAGGACATTAACTCTGTGTAACATGACATGTGTTAACTAATACCCTTCTTGCTCCAAACAGACATTATCTGGATTACAGAACCGTATGACATTTATTTGTATTTTTTAGAGAAATAATAGGAGATATAATTCCTTTGAATATAAAGCTTGTAAAATATTCAAAAATGTTTAAAATCCCACAACTTACTTTGCTTATTGCTTCTCAATAAGCCTAGTGTTGCCTGGGCATGAATTTTCAATTACTTTTTTTTCTTAAATTCAAAGGTATTCCTCTTTCAGCATTATTATGTTGCTTATATGAAGAATCTGAAGAACTTCTAGACAGAAAGCCTTTTGTGCACAGCAGCTCAACATTTTATTATGAAAAGGATTAGGCCTCCCCCATGTTTATGGCATTTCACATTTATTTTTTTCTACACAAAGTAATGCAGGAAAACTGTGCATTATTGATGAGATTTGTGACACTTTTTCTGTTTATTGCTTGTATTTGCAACAGTAGTTGATGTCAATGACCCAAATTTGTGTGTACTCCACGTGGAACAAACCGGCTCGAGGCACCGTATTTCAAATGAATTATTTGGAAGGGCTTATTGTATTTTCAAATGTCAACAACGGAATGGCACAGATTTAGAAACCTAGGCATCGTTTCATGAAACCGTCATAAGTACAAGTTCACCGAGATCCCATTGAAATGCATTTTAAACTTGATACACGTATTTGAATGGGATGTATGTGAGCTTGTGACTTAAAATGGTTTCATAAAACGTTGCCCTTGTTACCATTTTATTACCTACTTGGGATATGAAATTGCATTGTGAAAATCATGTTATTTATGAATTATGATATAACCCAAACATTAAAGGAACATACTTTAAAATGACAATGGCATAAAGAATCCTATTTTTGTTGGTGCTAATCACATGTTAGTTTTACTTGTACATATCATTTTACCATGCTTTCATTTTTGGGGTCGTAGTTAGACTTTGAAAATATAAATTATGAATCAAAAAATTGAATTGGTTGAAATTTACCATTTTACCATACTATGTGAAACTTTGCAACACAAAATTGATTTGTGGATGGCAAATTTATGTTAATACACTCCCTTATCTTGATATTTCTTTGAAATGTTGTTGATTGATGTTTTTAACCTTTTTTCTTATCATTTTTTGTTTGTTTACAGGGTGGGCAGGCTGGTCACCGCACTCTACTCTATGGTCATGCTATTCTCCTGCAACACTCTCAAAGCTCCATGGTAAGTATTTGATGATTGATGGTTATAATAATAATAATAATAATATGTCTTGTTTACCCAAGGTAGTCTCATCAGTATTCATACTGTTCTCCCTGAGGGCCCTGCAATCATATTATTACCCCGGTCATCGGATTCAGGCTTGATTATTGTTTTACCTGAGTGCTAAGAAAGCATGTTTATGCTTGTAAGTATAAGCAACTAGGGGACCGAAGGCTTTAAATGCTCTCTGAGGGGCTTGGTAATGAGGATTAATACCTTACCAAAAAGGATGAGTGCAACGACTTGGTGTCGAACTTGGGACCTCTCGGTTACAAGACCATTGCTCTGGCACTGAGCCATCGCGCCTCTTTGAATATATATATTTATATACTATTGGTTGGCCTTAGTGTGAATACAAGGAAATACTGGTCAAGTTAGGAGGGGGGGGGGTAGGCATGTTTTGTATGCCAAAGGAGGTGTAGATGCACTTTCTTTGTGGATTTTAGCCATAGAGATGAATATTTCCTGATTTTGCAAAAAAAATTGTTAGGAGCTGTTTGGTATCCTCTTGGTTTAAAATTTCATAATAAGTCTTTATTTCAGTCTTATACCATTCTCACCCAACTTCATCTAGTCGATACAGTTCAGGTCAATATCCCATAGTTGAATCCTAACCAATCTGATTGACCCCAACTTTTCCAATTCCAAGGAATTTATAACGTTCTATTCTTTCCTGTCCAAAGCAAGACTATCTAAATCAAACCAAATTTAATCTATAATCTATTTAAATCCAACCCATCCCAATCCATTTTTTAAATCAAATCAGCAAATCATCAACCATAATTCGTCAAATTCAGTCCAATCCTTTCCCATCCACCTTCATTAAAATCAATCCAATTCGATTCTATGTCATTTTTGGTCAGTCAAGCTAATCTTTTGGTCAGTCAAGCTGATCTTTTGGTCAGTCAAGCTAATCATTGGTCACTTCACAAGGAAGTGCATCTGAAGGAGAGACATCACCGTTCCCCTTTACAAGCTGCATGCATCTGCAATGGCAGGTGATGTGTGTCTCTCAGGCATGCTTTCATAACGTTTACAAACAAGAGTGTCCTGTTTGAGACAGGAACTGGCTGCTCCCCCATTGACCTGTGAGGAGTGGAAAACGGCCAGCCACTTCAAGATGAAGTGCTCCGAGTGTTTTGCGCCTAGACTGGAAAAATCTTTTCTGAGGGCCACTTCCAAGCGTGGCACCTTGGGGTTATGGAATAATGCTGTCCCTTCGTCCTTTCTTCCTTCCTGTCCTAGTAGAATGTTAGAATATAACTTATCACATTGTCATTGATTCAATTACTATAAAACTTGAATGTGTTGTGAGTTTGTAATGTTGGCCATTTTGCCACGTGAAACTCTTGCAAATTTGCAAACTCTCATGTCAATACACTTAAGTGAGGCTCCCCGCAGCATTAAACCTTTTGAATGTCACAAATTTTTGTGAATCTTGACTTGTCAACAAACTTTGTGAAAAATTGATACACATTAAAAAACGTATTCTTTAGAGTATCTGTCAAGAACATGCAAAATATACATTCATTTCTGCATTGCAACTGTTTCTGAATCATGGAATCCGGAAACGCAATCGATTCCTCAAATTACATTTGAATAGCCTTTTCAATATTCTGTTCATTGGTTCTATACACACTAGCATTTGTAGCATCTATCTAAATTCCAAATATTTGATTGCGATCAAAGTGACAAGGTCCGAAGTAAACACACAAAATCACTTTGATTTTTTATGACATCTGCTGAAGTCCGCACCTTTATAACTCTCGTAGACAATCACACGCATATTATGGGTAGTCCCAAACAGCTAGATGTATTTATTGATGTATCCCATTGTTAAGCTTGGCCGTTATGATTTAAGAAAGTGCCTTTCTTTATAAAATTTATGCTTTACCGGTAGTTGTATTAGACAATTTCAAAACAAAATTAAATTAGTCTGTTACGGATAGTCATATATAGACTATCTGATACAAAGGAATAAGAAGGAATGTGATAAATATGTACAAGTCACCATCAGCAGAACAGACTAAGAATAAATTTAATGCAATTACAGAGCGTAAAAAAGAGATGGAGAGAGAGAATATTATAAGATCATTTTACCTTTTGGATATTAGTTCCGTCTACTAGTAGCAGTTAGAAGAAGAGAAAAAGAGAAATTGAGAGAAATTGAGAGATGCTGTATTTTTCTTTTGAAATTATCATGATAATTCATAACTACCATTATATACCTCACTTAAGAAATCCAGCCATCTGATTGGTCGAATTGCATTCATAAACTTCAACTGTTCCTGTAAAATTCCCGGTAACCATGCATAAAACATTTAATATTTTTAATAACCATGGTTATTAAAAAAATAGGTCAGCCTCCATGGTTACCCCATAGGTTTACATGTTAAAAAATGGTTTGAGCGATCGAGGATACCGTATGTGTGCGAAGGATTGGTCGGTAATTTCAATACAATTGAATCTCGATCGATCTTACCGACAATTTTATCTTGCATTGATGACATGAAGACGAAAATAAACTTCCAAAAACAAAAAAAACAACATCTGCCGATAGATCTTGATCTAAGTTCGTGCCAATATGCATTGCAAAAGTAAAAGAAGGGTGCTTTTGCGAAGCATTCATCACGCCGAAGCCGGTTTCAATCCATTTTAATGTATATATTGTACAAAACTGCCACGCATGTGAACAGTGCGCGATGGCCGAGTGGTGTAAGGCGTTGGTGTAATATTCATCACTCATTGTACGCAAGGGTTCGACTCTCACCTTCGACAAAAAAAAAAAAAAAAAATTATTATTTATTTTTTAGTCTATTTTTTTTCGGCATATAAAAGTATTAATGACTGCTTTAATATTCGAGAAATAGTTGTTTTCATACGCTCTCGGGAAGGTTACAATTGGGCTATTCCTCTCGGCAAGCCTCGGGGAATAGCACAATTCTAACCTTCCCTTGAGCGTAATAAAACAACTATTTCTCTCAAAGCAGTCATTAATACTATACTATTGTTTTAGAGAATATTATATCCATGCAGCTGAGAATCTTATGGATAATATCATCAAATAGAAATAGAAAATTGTGTTTGAAAATTATCAACAGCTTCAATACTTACAAAACAAATATAAGACTATCTTCAGAGGATCCTTTGTTATTTAACCTTGCAAGGAATAGGTTCTTTCATGACAATGTATAATTATAGCTCTAATGATAGTAAGGAAAATACTTTTTCCACTTAAAATGTGTCAATGCAGAAAGAGGTGATAAATAAAAGTTTAATGGCAAATGTGTTTCAAACATAAATGTATCTTCTTTTTAATTGTTTTTTTTCTTCCCTTTTTGTTAAATCCAGCATCTTGCCTGTCTTCCAACAAGTTCCTCTAAAGATAAACTTGCCTTTGATGTGGGGCTTCAAGAATCAACACAAGGTGAGTGTTTGAAACAATCATTTTCTATTTAGGGGATATCCCCTTGGCTGATTCATGGCCTTAAGAGATCAACAGTTTATATAGCTAGGTTGACATGGGAGTCTGTAAACTTAAAGTGTAGCTTGTGGTATCTTGACTTCAAGATTATCTTATAGTAGAGGTCAGTGCGGATGTGCTTCAAGAATTAACAGAAGGTGAGAGTTTGAACAATCGGTTTCTATTTTAGGGGTACATCTCCTTAGTCGATTCATGGCCCAAGAGATCAACAGTGTATATAGCTAGGTTGACACGGGAGTCTGTGAACTTTAAGTGTAGCTTGTGGTATTTCAATTTCAAGATTATCTTATAGTTGAGGACTGTGCGAATGGGCTTCAAGAATTAACACAAGGTGAGAGTTTGAACGATTTAGGGCTACATCTCCTTGGTTGATTTGAGGCCCAAGAGATCAACAGTCTATATAGCTAGGTTGACATGGGAGTCCGTAAACTGTAAGGCATTGTTTAACAATGTTTCCAGTTTTACAAATCTGAGATGCATGGCCCTACGTGTTATCAGCGTCTGTGATATGGTGTTATATTGAAGCCTTAAAAAGTTGCGCTTCCAAATGATCATAAAGTGCCTCAAAAAAGTAAAAAATCTTTGAGTGACTGGTTTTACCATACTCATTTTCCCCAATAGCCTGTAGTGTTATAAAATTTCAATTTTTGAAATTTCGAAATCCAATCATAAATATCTTGATAATCAGATGGGCGATTGGCTTGTAAACGTCATGGGATTCCTGACTGACCTAAAGGTTTCTAATTATAATTGCAACATGAGCTAAATTTAGGATTTAGTTTAGAATCTGTGAAAAAGATACCCAATCCCTTTAAGTGGGGCATCTCGGTTGATTCGTGGTCCAAGAGATCAACAGTTTATATAGCTAGGTTGACACGGGAGTCCCTAAACTTAAAGTGTAGGTTGTGGTATCTTGACTTCAAGATTATCTTATAGTTGAGGACTGTGCGGATGCCCTCGCAGTTTTAAAATGTGGTTCACATGAAGTTTTAAATCATGAGCAATCTCTTGCTGCTGTGTTTTATATGTTTGTTTTGGTTTTTAGTTTTTTCTTTTTGTTTTAACTGTAATTTCTCCTATGATTGTTTGTAAAAATGTGATTATGAATGATCAATGAGCAATCTCATGGCTAACCTGATAACTATGAGTAGAGGGGGTCCTAACTCAAAATTATGTGCCCTACGAATTCAGTACACTTTTGAGATTTTGCCAGTTAGTAGATACGACTGCTAGTTTGCTTGATCTGTAGTTTTGATATTCAAACGTGTGTTGTTTTACCCATTAACTTGTGAATGATTTCATTGCCATAGGCTTAATTCAATATTTAACATCCAGAGGAAAGCTTCTGAATTTGTGATTGAAGGTATTATGTCAATTACGAGTTTAAAGGTTGTAGATAATGACAATTTATGTATATCTTGTACCTACCCAGCTATCAGCAGACTTTTTGTTTTGTTGTTTCTAATATGGCGGCCCTGTTCTAGAAATGATTTCATTTCTAATTATGTTTAGCTATTACTTCTGTGTTTATCATTCTGAATTTATATCTATCTCTATATGAGGTGACTTTACTTGTAGTTTATATTGCAATATCATCCATCTGTTGCCAATTTCAGTATTTATTTAAAAACAAAAATTATGATAATTAGTCAATGGATTGACACCTATCTTTAGAAAGCAATGAATTGTACAAATCTGCTTAGGTAGCTATCTTTTAAACTTTTAATCTTTCATTTTTATTAAAGATGGATTATAATTTTAATTTTTTTTCACCTGTTAAAACTGTTGCAAATATGATGGATAGTCAAATTTAATCATTTAATCACAACCTTGAGAATTGTGCATTTTTCAAGAGCAACCATATTTGATAATTCTTACAAGTTTCTAGTTTTACAGTGACAGCTTTGTGGCTAGACAGATTTATGATATACATTTGCTGTATTTAATGAATATATCAGACAAACAAATGTGTAATTGCTAATGATCTCATGAGAGCGAGGTTTACAGATGATGAGATTTATCACACATCTTTGCTGTGCATGATGAAGATATTTGACATGCAAAGAGAAAGGTGCTAATGATTTAGTGAAAGAAAGTTTTACAGATAGTAAGATTTATTGCATACATTTACTGTGGTTTATGAAGATACTTGACATGCCAAGGCGTTTAGGTGCTTAAAATGTTCATGAAAGTTTAGTTTTATAGGTACTTTTCGTCAGATTTCTTAATATAATTGTCTTTGGCTTTTTGCCTTGTTTGATTAAGGACATTTGACATATAAAGGTGTTTGGTGCTAACAATATCTTGGAAGCAAAGTTTATAGATGATGAGATTTCTTACATTTTTTGCTTTATTGGATGAAGACTTTAGATGCTAATGATCTCCCAAAAGCAGGGTTTGTACATAAAATGAGATTTATTACACATCTTTGCTGTCTTTGATGAAGATGTTTGACAGGCAAAGGCGTTAGGTGCTAATGATTTTTTGAAAGCAAAGTTTACGCGAATCGAGAAATATCACAGATCTTTTCTGCGTTAATCCAGACATTTGACATGTAAATACAGTAAGGACTAATGATTTCATGAAAGCAACGTTTTATAGGTGCATATTGTCAGATTTATTGCTGTAATACTTTAGCTGTGTTTAATAAATAAATTGGGCATGCAAAGCCAACAGAGGCATTGCTGTGCCAGTGGTCTGCTGCAAAATCATTAAAAGGTTTAGATTTATCATCTTTCTCTGCTGTGTTTACTAACAGTACGGGACCAACAGATAACCAACCAATCAGTCCATGAGAAATGTAAACACACTTTCGCCAGGATAAGAGTTGTGGGTTATTTATTAACCGTTTCTCTCGGAGCTGTTGCCTGCAAACATTCTGTGCCGACTAATGCTCGCAATGCAAACACAGGGGAATAGCGTATGAAAATGATATGTGTTTTTAATTATTCACAGGTCCTTCATTGAACTGTGTGTGATGTGATTAAGGATACAGATGTACTCTGTAGTAAATAGTATGCAAGCATTTATCTTCAGAAACAGTGGTTATTTTCAATTTATGGATAATACACCAATATTGTTTGGCTTCGTATTGATGATCATGTCTGATTTATAGGTGCATATATAGATAGCTAGGGGTTTTATAAATGCTAGTTTAATTTTCTGCTGTATTAAAGGAATCGTTTAACAGTGTTAAATCTGAGATGCACAGCCCTACGTGTTATCAGTGTCTGTGATATGGTGTCATATTGAAGCCTTAAAAAAAAGATCGCGCTTCAAAATGATCAAGAAGTGCCTCAAAAAAGTAAAAAGCTTTGAGTGACCGGTTTTACCATATTCGTTTTTCCCCAATAGACTGTAGTGTTATGAAAGCCGTTTGGCAAACGCAAAATTTGATTTCGATTTTCAATCATAAATATCTTGATAATCAGACAGGCGGTCAGCTTGTAAAAGTCATGGGGTTCCTGAGGTACGACAGGTTTATAATTGAACTAAATCAAGGATATTTTTAAAGGATCTAAGACAAAGTTACCAGATCCCTTTAAGCAAGACATTGAATCATATGAACTCCCGCTTATTTTTATTTTTATTTTTATCAATTTAAAAAATAAGTCATTATAGGAAGATACTTTCATCTAAAAAGCAATTTGGTCTGGTTGCCTGTAGTGAAATTGAAATCCCTCATATGAATATAATTTTTGTTTTATATGTAAATTTCATTTTAATATTACCTGCAGGACAATTTTAAACAGATCCTACCAAACAATACACCCAACAATCATGGCAATAAGCTTCTTTTGTAATTCTGATTGCTACATGTATATTTGCAAAACATTTAGCACTCCCTCGCAAATATCGCCAGCCCACAAGAGTTTTGGCATTGGTATTAGAAATAGTGGGGTTATCTGTGCTCAAGGGCATTGCCAGTCAATTTATAAAGGGTGAGGGGTGGGGGGGGGATGTCAAATAGGGAATTTATTGTCAAGGTAGGTAAAAATACCCTCTGTGTCATTTTATTTTATTTGCTAGTAGGGCCAAAAATAGCTGAAATTTGCAGATGGAAACGTTTGAAAAAGGGTGTTACAATCCTAAGTTCCACCTCTAATGAAACCGTAATTATTTGTGAGCTTTAATTTTTTTAAGAGGTTGGAGGAGGGGGAGAGAATTTATACCACCATGTTTTTCTTTTAATATCATAAAAAGGCAGAGATTTCATTTGATGTTACATAAATAATGTTATATGTAGGTTTGCTCAGGTTAAGAGACTACAGCTTCAAGTGTTTTGTATACTGCAATCACATTAACTCATTAAAGCAGGTTTCCAAAGAGAGGCATCCAGGTGGTTTTTATATTAAGATTACATTCACAATTACCATTTCCAGATTAATGATCTTCCACTCGAGCTCAAGAGATGGCAAAACTGACAATGGGGCGTAATAAATCATGCAGTTATACTCATTCATCAATTCTAGGTACACGATGACAATGCTATGTTGATGTGCAGCGTACGTACAAATATGCATCTGAAATGCCGCAAGGTAATGAAAGTGTCATTGTCGGACAGGCGAGCGGAGACGTGTTGTTAATCACATCTATACGTGTTAATTGCAAAGGTAGAACTGCATGATGATGAGGAGAAAATGAGAGAATGGGGAAAGAGATTAATAAAGAATATTTGTCTCCCATATTTTTAATGACAAAGATTAAAGGCCCACTGCACTACTTGTAGCTACTTGCGCCCTCTATATAACAACCAAAGCCTAATCGGTGACCATTGGTCCCCCATGATCCTCTTTTTCTTATGTTAACTGAGAGCTGAGTTGATGAGATAACCACCTGTCCAGTGACCTTGCAGAGTGCTCTAATCCCTCCTGTAAACTATGGCAGATAAGCTTTAAGATGAGAGAAAAGGAGAGGCTGGCAGACAGACAGAGACAGAGTGAGAGTGAGAGTGAGAGTGAGAGTGAGAGTGAGAGTGAGAGTGAGAGTGAGAGTGAGAGTGAGAGAGAGAGGGAGAGAGAGAGAGAGAGAGAGATATGTTTGTGAGGAGGAAAAATGGAGGATAGTAAAAAATAGTCTGAAATATACTTACCGTGTCTTTACATGATAAACTAAGATTATGCACGAAGAGAAAGAGCATCAGTCATGTAAAAACTTTAAATCAATCATAACAGCTGAGAAAAGAATTCTGATGTAAACAATTAAATGCAAAAATGAAAAGCATTACGATATGATACTCCTAATGATGTAAGAATCATAAAGAGTGAAAAGAGCATTTGCGAAAGAGACAAAAGAATTACGGTTAAATCAGAAGAGACAAATTAAGAGCTGGAGAAAAACAAGAAGATGGAAAGAGACAGGGCGTCGTAGATTCTACCGAGCTTGGGTTCCGTTGCCGTGGCGACCGGCCGTTAAGAGTGGGCATTGAGAGTCAGTGTCAACATCACGGAGATAGAGAGTGACACGTGATTGGTATCTAGGGTCACTACCTGCATGGGCTTGAGTCTGAGATGTTGCATTAGGGTGCGTTCCCATGGGGATCCTGTTTTCTTCTTCCTTTGATTCAGTAACTGGGTGGCACTGAAAACTGCTTCATATGTGGACAGACCCTTCGTGGTAGGTTGCAGATAATGGCCTCGTTCAAAACAAAAACAAAACGAAAACTGGGCAGCTAGTATTCCCATATGCACAGCTTGAATGATGCATTCTGAGACATAGAAAAAATGCTTTCATACTAGATGTTCATGCGTACATGCATGTATGCAACTTTATTCATGCTCACGCTCATCTGCAACATCTATTAAAATGATTTCATAATGGGTCTTTTGTGGTATGGCCTGTGGGGATCTTCAAGATTTTTGAAGGGCTGCCAATTTGACAGTGTATCATCAAAGAATACGTTCGTGCACTTGAAATTTCATTTCTGCATACTGTCATTTATTTTGATGATGATACATTAATAATTATAATAATATAGTAATAGTGATAATAGTAATAGTAGTAATTACAGTGTTGTAGATTGATGATAATAATAATAATGATAATGTTAATAATAATAGTAATAATAGTAACAGTAATAGAAGTAATAGTAATTATATTAATAATAATAATGATAATATCAATACTAATGATTATACTAATCATGATTAAATTAATAGTAATGATGATAACAATAATGATAATAATATTAAAATTAATAATCACAAGCGATCTTCCTACACATCTGAAGAAGGTTGGGGTTACCACAAATAAAGAACTCCTGCAGAAAGCAGCTCTGCTTGTTACTGCAAGACTCTTATTATAAGTACTTGGTCCTAAGGCTACGGATTGTAGCTTTCCCTCCGTATACTAATGAGATAAACACTAGCATAGATCAAGCTGAGATATCGATGATATACTGATAATAATAGTAATGATAATAAAAATTGATGATGATTATATACTACTTCTAATGATACTAATGATGCACATTCATCCTGCAGCTGATAGAACTTATACTATGTTTTCAGGCATTATGGTGCTGTTTTCCTTGTAACTACGCTACTGGAATTCAAACTTGTGCAATACCTGTACTGTTCTCGTGGAGTAATCTAAATTTCCATGGACTGTGACCACCGCCCAAGTCCATCTCATGTAGTCGACTCAATAAGGGTCATGTTTTTCATTAGTGATCAAGTTGTTCAATCAAAAGTCAATTTCGAATAGTTGTGTATATCTTCTTTATGTCAGAATTTAGTAATTTTGTGCTGCAAACTGAAATGTAATGAAGTATCCCCATACCGGAAATGTTGATCTTTGCAAAGCTCGAGTAGGTCATTGAAGGGAAGAAAAAAAAATACATCATTTTTTGGAGCATTTTTAAAATCTACTTCTTTTCTTTTCTTCAAAAGACTTGGTGGCGTTTCATTCATTTTTGTTAATCTGTCTGTCTCTCTCTCTCTCTCTCTCTCTATATATATATGAATAAGTATATATGTATATCTTTCTCCCTCTTTCTATCTTTCTTTCTCTCTTTCTCCCTCTTTCTCTCTCTCTCCCTCTCTCTCTCCCTCTCTTTCTCCCCTTCTTTCTCCCCTTATTTCTCATTTTCTTTCCCCCCTTTTTTCTCATTTTCTTTCCATTGGGACAAAAACAATGCACAGGAGTCAGTTATTGGAATTCTTGCAATAAAAATTGGAAAGAAATAATTTTATTCCAGCCAGCACATATGAACATTCACATAGTCTGGATGGGGTTGGAAGTCATAGATGCACAGGAAAATATGACATTTTGTAGTGAATTTTAAACAGTATCAATCTTCTTCTCGTTTATGTGATTCCTGTGAAAAAGATGTAAGCTTGTACATGATATATGTGTACCCAATTCGAAGTACAGTATGAATCAAGTTGCAGGTAAATGAAGTTCCAGTACAAACAGCATGGGTACTTTATAACAATATGATCATTCTATATAATTTAATAATCATCCTCCCACTCAAATTTTCAAGGAAAGAAATAATTTTAAATATAAGAGCTGTTTATCCCTCACTGGTGTTTTATTGCAAAGCTCCATCTTGCTTGTACTGTATGTCTGTCTGTGCACCAAGCTGTATTTACATTATCATAATGAATACCAGTATGTATAACTACGATCCGTTATGTACATAGAGCTAGCAATGAAAAATACTTAACCTACATCTAAAGATGACATGCATTGGAAATGATGAGCAACATGTCACTGTACTCTTTCATTACCTACCATCCTCACTCTAAGGTCCGTTAATCTTATGACTCGATAACGATGACAATTTCAATGCAAGAAAGCCCAAAAAATCTGTACCAAATTTAAGAAGGTCCACTGTACACTTCCATATACATTGTAAATGGATGATGTCTGCTATATTTATTTGTTAGAAAATGTGTGAGTGCTGTAAAAAAAGGAAAATAGTCATGGAATGTTGTTCTTTTTTGAATAACTTTGATAGTGGTCATGATCAGTGATCTACAATTTGTATTCTGTATGACGTTTGGCTGTGATGCTTTTGCAGTATAATGCTGGTATCATCAAGTTTATTACATTTAGGCCTTACCTCTCCTATTGCACTCGTGTATGTTTATCATTTATTTCATGTTTTGCACAAGTTGTGCCTTGGGCATTTGATTGTCAAGTGGATTTGGCACCTTACAAATCCTATGTATTATTATAGTCACCTCTTGTTCTAATAATTCCTTCATCCACCCGAAGTTTCAATCTTATCAACAATTTATATTGACTTTCATATCATAAAGCCTTTCTTTAAATATTCATGTAGTTTAGTTGAATCACAGGGCTCTACATTCGTATAGTACACCTTGCACTCAAGGTTATGTGTGATATTCCATGCATTTGTGAATGTATAAATGGTCGCTGATAATAAGAATTGTCCATGTGTTAGGTTGCACCTAGCCATGAATAATGTTGAAGCACAGGAAGTTACTCAGGTTAGGAGAGTGTTAGGAGAAGTGTTGGTGATGTATTTAAAAAAAAAAATTTTTGGAGGGGGGGGGGGGGGGCAGGAGGGAAGGGTGTTTAAGGGAGGGGTTTTGGATTTTGTGTAGATAAAATTTTTCTTGTAGAGTATTTCTTTGAGGGAAATAATGATTCTCCTTTGATCTATCTGTCTCTCCTTTCTCTTTCTCTTTCTCTATTTCCAAAATAGTGATATGCAGCTAAGGTAAAACAGTTTATAATTATTATTATTATTGCTGTTTTGTTGTTGTTTTTGTTATTAATATCATTATTATTACAATTATTATTAGCGTTATCATTATTATTATTATTGAAGAAAAACTGCATTGCTCTTGCAATGAACCATATTGATAATTAGACTCAAATGTCATGATTTCCCTCTCTCTCTCTCTATCTCTGTGTACAGGAGAAGCATGTTGGTGGACGATATACCCGGTATCCAAGCAGAGGTCAGAAGGTGAAAAGGTCAGAGTGGGAGATGACCTCATCCTTGTCAATGTCGCCACAGAGAGATACCTGGTAAGATGGTCATTCTTGGAAACAAAAGCCTGTTAGGCTTGTTAGATATTGCATGGTAAACCGCCGTAAAAAAACCGCCACATTTTTTTTAACGGGTGGGCAACCTTTCGTGGGCCACAGCTAACGATTGACATAACTTTTCAGACCGTAGGTCTCATTGTACGCAGTGTAAAGGGAAGGGGACTATCCAGTTTACGATTAAGATTCGTGAGAAAAATTCAACAGCGGGAGAAAAGGGTTGTGATATTTACAAACGTTACTGCGTGCGGAAATTACAAACTGAAATTAACACGGCGAGTGATGTTAATGTCGTACCACCTTCAGATTAACAGCAAACAGTTCTCAAAGGTGGAAGTATTTCAATTTACCTTTAAACCACAAAAAAAAAATCAAAACCACGACACTGAAGAAAAAATATGGGATTAACATACCCACAGGTACATGCAAAATGTATATCACATTTATGTATATCAAGTTCATCAATGCTACTTATCAAGCCCTGGTATTCTACTTGGGGCAAATCAGTTTGCATATCCATCAAGTCTACTTGAATTGATGAGAGGCCAATTTAAGGAGGCATGATGTTAATTGAGACAATTGCCTCCTCATTTTCCAGTAATTGAACTAGAGGTTTCAGAACTTCCAGGTGGGAGGGCTCATTGATATTACTCCACTTTTTACCAATAATTTGTTTTATTTGATCAGTATGTGAACGTCTTTAGAGTAAAGTTCTTTTGATCTTTACAAGAACATTGTGAAATATATATTTTATATGAATATTGACAACATTGGTCATAAACATTAGGGTAAATTTTGACACGAAATGATTACATACACAAATATGCAAGTGAAAACAAATGCAAATTTTGACATTTCAGAGTCTCAGTTATTATTAAGATTGCTATGAATTCTATAGTCAAATGGTATCATTCAGTTGTTTTCCTATTTGAATAAAAAAACACCATGATAAAGAATGGTCATGTGCTCAAGATTTGTCAATTTAAGAGGATTTACTGCTGACCACCTCATTCAGTTTATGAAGTGCCATCAGAATTTTCCTTTAAATAAGCCATACACACTGTACATACCAGTATATACATTTTTCTCTGTATCACCACAAATAGTCTTAGAGCACGAAGGCATTAGGACATGGAAGGCAAATAATTCAAATTGATGTATTCAACACATGATTAAATTCATGCATTCAACACACAATTAAATTCATGCTTTCAACATCAACACACAATGAAATTCTTGCATTCAACACATGATTAAATGTATGCATTCAACACACAAGGTAATCCATTCATTCAACACATCTATAGAAAAATCATCTATTTGAAGCCAGAATTACGTTAACTAGTATCATCTTTACACACAGAGTTAATGCCCTTCTGGCTCCAAACAGGAAAAATTATGTCGGGACCGGGCGCAATCCATGGTCAGATTTTAAACAGCTGCGTATAATTCAATTAGCATACATACAATCCAGCCTTGCGGTCAATATTTGTATGGCTTGGCTGGTCATTTCATCACCTTGCTAACCGGATTTGCTTGACCACTCATGCACTCATGAATGTGATTGGGCTGGGAGTAGGGATTTAACCATATTTGGAAAGGATACTGACTTTGAGCGTGTTGTGGTATTTTATGTATGCATTGCAATGTATTGTGTTGCTATTTATGATGTTGCTGTTTCTTTTGAAGGAGAAGGGATAGGGAGTAAATGAAATTGTAATTCTATCTGTGAGTGGGGAAATGGTAGTATATTGTAAACAAATACATGTATGATACCTTTATTGATGGATGTAATGAATTCTTTGATTTTGAAAAAAATAAACCCTAAAAGTTGAAATAAATTAACGATACCTAGTTCTTTTTAAAATAGGCCTATACTTAAGGCAACAAATGAAACTCAAACACGATTGAAGGAGACATCACCTGTGATAAGAAAAAGAAAAAATGTTTGAGAATAGGTTTTAATTACACAAATAATGAAATGGAAAAACAAACATATAGCAATTACGGCATAATGCACAAAAGAATATAAGAGAAAGGGAGTAAAAATCACAGAGGTTTATTTAATAATCACAGAATTATGAATACTACAAAAAAATTCATAAACATACCTCTGTCAAATGAAAAGGAGGTGCATATTTGAAACCAGTGACAACAATTAATATGTTTGAAATGAAGCACTGTTGAGTTCAAATGAAAAAGATGAAAAATCCAACATCTGGGAGTATTATTATTAAAGGTAAAGATTACTAATGGAAATGTATTAAAGTACATGTCTAATATTTAATCTGGTTTAGGTTTCTAGAATTTTTCCTGTAAACATTTTTGATCAGCTTGAGAGAACAAGAAACGGAGAATCTTGCCAATAGTTGATATATTATTGATGAAATAGTTGGTGTAAGTTTTCTGTTGACGTTAGAAAGTAAAGTATGGAATTTTTGAATGATCCCTCCACTATAGATAAGAATTACATCATTATTGTTATAATTATCATTATTATTATTATTCCCATCAGCATCTATCTGTGGAGAGGGATGACCAGCCCATGATAGTAGTAGCATCCTTCCAGCAGACGCTATGGACCGTCGCCCCCGTCAGCTCAGGCATCGTCAAGATCAAAGCAATGGGTAAGCTAGTGCCACTAAGAAGTGTTTTAAAGCCCCACTGTCCTACTTGTAACTACTCGCTCCCTCTATATAAAAAACATCCCCAATTGGTGCCTGTTGGTCCCCGTGATCCTCTTTTTCTTATGGTAGTTGAGAGCTGAGTTGATGAGATAGCCACCTGTCAGTGACCTGGCTGAGTGCTATAATCCCTTCTGGCCCAGTAGTATTGTCGGTCTTTAAAAGGTGTATATTGTCAGTTTGGAGGCAGAAGGGTGTTAGCTCTGTGTCAGAGCATATGAGTGTATGCCCTTCTTGCACCAAACTGACGATATTTTAACTAGAGATGCTATTAACTGTTACAGTGCCTGAGGCGTTGATTCCTGGATGTATTCTAAGCAGTTAGAGCTGGAAGATTGTTTTAATTTGATATGGGCAGTATTTTGTCCTTCCTGAGTCAGAAGGTATTAATCCCCATACTTTAACACAGAGTAAACGCCTCTCTGGCTCTCAACAGACCATTTCAGCCTGAAGGATGAAATGGTATATACAGGTACAAGGATGATACCATGGACTTTTCTAAACGATTAGACATATAGTTGACCTAAAATATTGTCATCTCCTCTTCACTTTTTTCCCTTACTTCACCAGTGTTATTCTAACTGGTTGATCTGTTGCCTCACTCTACATTTCAGACATGGTTTTATTTTGATGAAAATGCAGCATTTAAAAAATAATAGTGGAATCAGATGTGGCTTCACTATGGCTTGTAACGAAGACACCATTGTACATTTAGATGCATACATGCATTTCATCAAATAGAAACCATATCCGAAATGTAGAGTGAGGCAACAGATCAAACAGTTAGAATGACACTGGTGAAGTAAGGGAAATAAGTGAAGAGAAGACGATGAGACAAGCACTAAAAATATGTGCACTGTTATGGGACATCGTCTGCTTATACTTATTTGGTCCCTTGCATGACGTCACAAATCCCAGCAGTGTTCGGAGAGTGCTTCAAGTGTAAAAGTGGGGCTGTATTTTACCTTTTTTGAAATTAATAATAATCGTTACTTTGAATGTTTCCAAACGGGAAATTTTGATAACCTTGTTTGATTAAACCTTTCCTTATGCAATGATACAAATTAAATCAATATTTAAATTCAATGAATGTCTACTTTAAAGACTTATGTTCTAAAAAAAGTTGAACCTCATGATGGTGTCAATTTTGGTCTAGGTGGAGTTTGATGCAGCATGTACATCTTGGACCTCTGTGTAGGTCATTGTATTGAAATAGTCTTGGGCCAGTAGTCTGCTTCAATTCTAGTAGATAAAGAGCCCTGGGTTGCATTCAAAAGAAGGGTCATGTATTAATCTCCATATCACCCAAACTGGTTTGTATAATTTCAGCGAGAAAATATGGAGACACGGAGAAGGCTTTAGGTAGGTTGTCAAAAAATTGTTCAAAAAGTTTTTTCTATCGGTGGCGGAGGTGGTGGTGAACTGGTGATGGTGGTGGTGTTTATACAAGTAATAGTGGAAGAAAACTATCTTTTGCAGTAGTGTAAATAGAATGAATTTAAGCAGTTACACTGGCAACAATAGAAGGAGATTAGTGAAAGTAGTAGAAATAATAGCATCAACTTGATGAGTGGTAGAAGTTGAAGAAAATGAGCCATATAATAATTGGTCATTAGTTCGATAGACTTCACAGACTTAGTTTGATGGTAGTAACATTAGTTGAAATAAGATCTTGGAAATTTTTTTAAACATCCATTAGGAATATATTTATTGTTAATCATTACAATCCATGATATTTACATTTATATATTTTGCCATTCTATTTTTCACCATTTGAAAATGTATGTATGCACAATCCATGTTCCTTTAATTGTGTCCTGCCAAAGGATATTACATCATGATGCATTGTTTCAATCAATTTTGAGAAAAATTCAATTTGTGTTGGTCTTTTCACATCTACCATAGATGACAGAGATGTCAAGGCATGGCACTAAAATGCAGGAGTAATCAATATTTTGATAATAAACTGGAACATTGAAAGAATTTCTAAACCAAAAGTGAATATAGAAAAATACAGAGAGAAAGATAGAGAGAGGGGGGTGGGTGTGCAGAGAGAGAGAGAGAGAGAGAGAGAGAGAGATAGAGAGAAGGTGAGGGGGTGATAGGGGATGGGAGGGGTATGTAGATGTTGAGTAATAAGGAGTGGTACCTAAACTTGTTCAGGAAAAAAAGTTAGAAATACAGAATGAAAGAAATAGAGAAAACACAAAAATAAGGAGGAAAGAGAACCAGAGAAAGAGAGAAAAAGAGAAAAAGAGAAAGAGAGAGAGAGGGGAGAGAGAGAGGGGGGGAGAGAGAGAGAGAGACAGAGAGAAAGAGAATGCTTGAATAAGGGTCAGACAAGGGAAGAGACGGATGTATTTTAGTTATCATACATGTTGGTTCCACAGTTAGAGCTGTAAAGGCCATGAGGTAATTGACCAATCAAAAGAAATTTTAAAAAGGAAGCCCAAAGTCCTGACCCATCTGCAAAAAGTTGCCTGCATTCCGACGCATCAGCACTCGTTATGCTTCCCCACCAAGCGCGGAGTTTGTCAACGGACGAATTTGTCATCGTTTGAATTGGTCGTTGTCATGTGCGTAACGGGACAGCAAGGGATTGATTCACTCCCCAGGCTAGGCTGATAGGGGAATTAAAGAAACAGATGTACCGAGGATTGGTCCAGTTTAGAAGCAATATCACCTTGCCTCCGCTCAATTGCAATCAATGCAGCATTGATCACAGAGTAGTAAACAGTAAAGCGATGCCTCAGAGAAGCCTGCATTTTTTCTAAGAAAAGAAAAGAAATCTGTCTGGATTTCTTGATCTTCCGTAGATGTTTTAGTAATTTAAGAGAGCCCCCAAACAATCAGTAACATCTGCTATTATTCTTCTCAGGGACGTATGTTATTGGTTATTCTTCTCATTACTTATGAATGAGTTTCCATCTCTGGAGATTCCCCAGCCACAGTCCATGTTTTCTTAAATTCAACTTCCCCAGGGGTCTATATGTAAGCCTATTTGTTCACTCTGACACAGTGATCCCAAAATGAAGTTGACTTGAATAATAAAAAGTTTTTGTCCTTATTCAGTTATCTCGTTAAAGGTAATAATTTACATTATGACACGTTCATTGAAGTAGAAAGATTAATTTCTTATTTAATCTAGAAGGTACGGTACTGAAAAATATCCATCAACAAGTAAAAATGTAATAAAAAGCGAAAAAGTTGAAAATTTATGTTCCTTTGAAAAATAAATTCCTTCTTTTTAAGAGCTGCCTAAAAGCTATTTTGAGTTGTTGAAATAGGAGCAATTGTATGAATTGTGATGTTCTATCAGTGTCTATATCTTGTTGAAAATCTATTTTCGAGATATATTTTAGATACAAAACTGTTTCAAGAGCAATGAGACAATGCTACTACGATATCCTTCCACAAACGTTCAAGAGAGGGAGAAAACTCACAGATTACTTTCCACCGTCACCAGAAGTCAAGTTTCTCTTGAACCTTACTAGTGTTATCAAATCAATGAATCTTTCGTTACCGCTGTTCCAAGGGATGTATGAAAATAGCTCATGGAATGTTGACAATGGGGAATTTGCATTAAGAGATTCAAAAGTAGCTGATCTCAAGAGCCACTGAGATCTGTATGCCCACATGTACATTTATTTGTGGTTTTTGCTCACATGCGATATTTATGGGAATCAATCAACCTTGATGTTCATATATTTATCCTCCATTAGACAGTTAAACAATTCTTTCCTTTACTGGTATCCACAAGCTACAACGTAACTGTAGTTAGGAAAGTATGAATTATAATGTATCAGGCTTGGGTGCTGGTAGAGGCCCTAGGTTAAATGACCCTTAAATACAGCAAGGACCTACATTTAAACATTTTGACAAATAGGAAAAAGGAAAATGTAACAATTTGAAGAAATTTGTATAAATGACATTGATGTATCTCTGAGAACCCTATATACAGCAGAATGAAAAAGTTGTACTTTTAAACTAGATACTTCAAATATTCAAAGAATTCCCTCAAGATTATCACTACCCACGTATCCTAGATCCTCAGAAGCCTTGGAATAATTATTCAGATCTTTATTTCTCTCTTTATACAGATGACATAACAAATGACACCAAATTCTCACTTTTGTTTTGTTTTACAACAGACTTTATCACAGCATCTCAGATTTTGTTTTGTTTTTGTATGTAAACCTATTGGTATTTATTTTCACTTTGAGAGGGTCTGACTGCGGTCTCTCATTCTTTTATCGATCGTCTTTGGTTAAGAAACGGAAAGAATTCAGGAGAACAGTGGTGAAAGAGGAAGGACATAACTGGAGCATGAAGAAACCAGTTTTCAATCAATGCTCAATTGATCGACTGGAGACGCATGGTTGCAGGTAACTAGCGGTGTGGCTCTAGGCACTTCAGATACGAGCTGAGAAAATGTATCACGATTTTAGCCAAAAAATGTTTGAGATAGTATAGGAAGGCATTCAGGGAGGTGTGATATGTTTCATCGACTTGTTGCAAAAGTTTTAGTTTCAAAAGTGGAGAATCGATGGTTGCAGGAAATAAATGATGTAGCTATTTGCATTTTAAATTGTCGATAAGTTGAGAAAAATTTTAAAGATTTTTGCAATAAAATGTGAGAAAAACTAGTAGATGGCCTATTGATAGAGTGGGAACAGCTGTATTGACCTGCTATAACAGTTCAAGTTACAAAGTGGAAGCTATATAGACTGAAAAACATATACATGGAATATATATTGAATCATCCCTATTTTCACGAAGTGACGGTAGTGAGGAAAATCGTAACGCAAAGTGAATGCAATTTTGTTTAACTACCGTCACTTCGTGAAAACAGCGACGGAATATATATGTATATGACAGACACATCATGAAGTGCCATTATACATGCATTTGATTTTGATAACCTACACATACCTTATTGTCTGTGCTACCTAAAAAGAAAGAAAAAAGTGAATGAATACATTTTGAGAGATAATTCCATTGTATATGAACACGTATTGAACACAAAGGGAATAGATAACCTTGGAACTTCTAATTATCTTTGGGGATTGTATCAACTGTTCCAGTTTCATTTATTCCTTTCATTATTCTGATTGATATTCACAGGAGTGTGATCTCGCCAATCATTTTTTTTAAATCCCTGGCGGATTTAATCTATAGCCACTGGCCAGGAGCACTGTATAATATATATATATATATATATATATATATATATAGCTCCCAAAGCAGCCATTAGCCATGTGTATCTCTGCACTAAGAATCTTGATCAGCTTTTATAGGCAATAGTGTTCATAGTAGTTAAATTGCTCAATTCCTTAATTCATAGATTGTATATAGGGTACACCCATTTAATAAAATATAACCTACAGTATTGCTTAAGAAATTGATTACTTAGCTTGTACTCCAATCAAGTGTGCGCCATTTTTGTAGAAAACATTATTATTGTAGGTTTGATTACTTTTCTTTTTTTATTATTTCACTACACTGTAAATACATTGTATCATTTTATTAGCATTTGAACTTGTTTGTGTTTTGCAAGAGTTTGAATAATGAGTTTGGACATTACACAAATGTGTCACAAAAAGAGACAATTAAGTACATCAGGTTTCATGATCTCTTTCAACTTTTAAAAAAGTTTAACATAGTGGGATTTAATGTATATTACCTTTAAATCATATTTTTTCTGACTGTTTGAATTAACAGATGCAATATTCAATGGTAGGTTTATGACTTTCCATTCATCATTTTTACTTGAAGTGTCTCCCCAGGGTGTAATAGGGGGAGGGTTTGGCAGGACCCTCAAATCAATTCTAACTTGATATTGATTATGAAACAGGGCCCCTGATCCTGCGTCCTGCACTGGACTGGGATTGTGTAGTGAATCGAGAAGAAGAAGAATCTATGGCACATAAGACATTATTATTTAACATCCGTATGCGCTCCAAAAGAGCTTTGGAAATAGTTGCCCTAGCTTTAGCTCCGGCACCCGTTATCAGCCAGCTCACCGTGCATTTCAAGGAACAATCCTACCAGAACTATGAATTACCTTTAAATCATTCCTTTATCAACTGAACAGAGTCCTTATCCAATCACAGATTGATGAGTAGCTCCATCCGTCCGTCCAGTCCATCATTCGCACCGGAGGGCCCTCCTCGAGGGACAGTTCAGTCTCTATTGTTGTGCCAGCTGTGAAATTATATATCGCCCTAGAAAATTACAAGCCACAGTTCGGTGGACGGCAGCGGCAAAATGTCAAGATGGATGCATGTATAGATTCATCGATTGGATGTCGAAAGGAGAACGCGTCGAGTGGGAAAGGAGATGTTTTGCAAATAGTATAAAGG